GAAAATCCTCTTCATCTGAATGACCTCCTTCTTCCATCCAGCGGTGTCTTGGAGGTATTAAGGTAAGCAAGTCAATGTTCTCAATGACAGCTTTTACAGTACCAAGGGCCCTCTCAGATTCTGCTGCCAGTCATATGTTTTAACTTTTGATTGGGCAGAATACAGACTACTCTCAGACTGTTGTCTGAACCATAGTATGCTAAAAAGCCCTTAGTTCTTTGTTCTGAGCAATTCTAAAATCTCATTAAAATATTCATGAATTTTTATGAAACCAAATATTTCTATAATATTAAATGGAGCATAGAAGCCCTGTTTACTGTACTTATACTAAAAATATTGGCTTTCCTGCACTGTTTTCACAGTAAGTCAAGAGCAAATCTGACATCTGTCACTAATGAGCAAAATTCCTACTAAATACCATTTGTCTATCCCAGCCGTGGGCAAACTACGGCCCGCGGGCCGGATCCAGCCCGTTTGAAATGAATAAAACTATTGAAAAAAAAGACCGTACCCTTTTATGTAATGATGTTTACTTTGAATTTATATTAGTTCACACACACACTCCATCCATGCTTTTGTTCCGGCCCTCCGGTCCAGTTTAAGAACCCATTGTGGCCCTCGAGTTAAAAAGTTTGCCCACCCCTGGACTCTATCCCATCATCAAGGCCTAGGTGATACTTTAGTTCTAAAGATGTAGAGAGGAGGTGCTGACTTTGAAAAAAGTGCCCGGAAAATAAAGATTTTTCTCTTACATAAGAGCTGCCTCATAACAAAGATTTTAATTTTAAGATTTAAAACAATCTGTAATACTATCAACAATAAAAAAATATATTTAAAAAATTTTAAAAAGAAGGAAAACAAAACAATTTGGTAGAATTCTTAAATCTCTTGCTAATCAGCTGAAATTCCTTTTATGGATTTCTTTTTCTAAACCTGATAAGTTAAAAAAAATTCCCAAATTAAAATTTCAAAGACTCTCCTCAAGTCCTGCCATTTTGTTTCATAGACCTTGAGATTGATCTGATGTTGGCTGAGCCACTGATAATTGTTTTTCAGTCTTCCACAAAATATGTGAGTTCTGCTTTCCAGCCAAGCAAATGAATTGTGGAGGGTTCTTAATTAATAAGCAGCGAGGTGATATCATTTTCAGCATAATCCTAGCTTGTCCAAGAAAACTTACTCTATCTCCTGGTGGTCCCATGGGTCCTGGTGGGCCAGGTAGTCCTGGGGTTCCCTATATGAAAAGGAAGACAGTAATGTACTTCCTGTGTGGAAAAAGATACTTGTTATTCCCCCCAAAACATTTTTTTAAAAGAAAGGAAGTTCAGGGGGCTTCTGAACAGAAGCAAGCACAGTGTCAGCCATGTTGTAGGTACTGAGTCATCAAGCAGGTACCTGACCTGCCAAGCACAGACGTTAAGATTAAGACCAGAACATGAAATGGAAATAATGTGAAGGACGCAGCCAGGCTTCTGCTTTGCGGCTTGCCCTTGGTTCCCCAGCTCTGTACCGTCTGAGGCAGTACAGAGGCACCTTTCAAATAACACTTGACAAGGGAAAGGAAAGGTAACTTCAAGAACAACTCACCGCTCGGCCGGGAAGTCCTGGCTCTCCAGCATCGCCCTTCATCCCTTGGCGACCCTAGAGAAAGCAGCGGGAACACAGTTCCCAGGCGTTTTACAGAGATTAAGTGGAAAAGGAAGACATGAGTCATCTCTGAGATCTCCATCACTTCATAAATCCAATGTAAGAATACTTTTGAAGGGAGATGAATAAATCACTTTTTGTATTGATGCTCACTCTTTAAACTACAAATGCTATATTATAGTTTTCATTTATAATGCTATGGGATAATTTTATATGATTATGGGATAATATGCCTACTTTAAAAGGGCATCCTTTAACATAAGGGAATTTCATTGAAATAAAATTTGAAGGGAGGAAGCTATTTTATCTTAATATATTTAATTTGGTGCTAATTTAATAGATACTCAATGAAATGTTCTAAGAAGACAACATAATTTGGTACTTATTCCTACTTGCTTGAAGACACTTCTTACAAAGGAAAGCTGAATTAATTAAAACCGATAATTCAATAGTAGCAGTAAAAGGAAAATAAGGTAAAGCCTCTACAACTTTCTTTTGGACAGAAGCTCACAGTAGATGCATTCAACCCTCTTGAGGAAGAAAGCCCTGTGCCTTCACACGCCTCATTTCTAGCTATATCTAATATAGGTTTGATTTTCTTTAAATGCCAAAAAAAGTAATCTATCTTCCTAAAAGGGAGTTTAGACTTAAATTTAAGAACTATGCAGTTATTGTATTCTTATTCGTAAAATATATTTACTTTATCTTAATATACAGAAAAAGTTAAATACGATATGAGTCTTAAAAGGTGAGTTTTAAAAGAAAGGAAGTTCAGGGGGCTTCTGAACGAGTCTTAAAAGGTCAAACATCCTTTATAATTCAGATCAGCATTTAAAACAAAATAGGAGCCTCAAAAGGTCAAACATCCTTTTTAATTCAGATTAGCATTTTAAAATGTTTAAAGAAGTAATGACCTAGATAAACAATGCAAGCTTGCCTTGAAGTCGTAGGTATTAGAAAAGGACTTTAGGGCAACCACAGATTGAAAGCAATTTCAAAGTCTTCAGGATGTTGAAGGATATATGTATTATTTATTTTAAAAAATTTTATAGGTCAAAGAAGTAGTGTAATTTTTGTCTACACAGTTATACATTATTACATATACTATTTACATGTCTGAAATCATAGTCCTCATAGGAAGTTATCTCAATGACTAACTGGTGAGTTCTCTGAGAAAACATTCGATTTGGCAAAATATAGTAAAAAAATGTTCCAGTTAAATGCAGTGTTAATCTGCCATCCTCACTTAATACAGAAAGCCTTTGTACTTACTTGTTCTCCCGGAATAGAGAGTCCGTTGGGGCCCTGGGGACCTGGAGGACCCTGGGGGCCTGGAGGACCTGAATCCCCACGAGGACCAGGGGGCCCCTAAAATACACAAGGAAGAAACCACCACATGGTCATGTAATACTCATCCAGTGCCTTCCTAACCTTAAAACACCATCATATAATTCTTCATATAAGAACAACTGGAAAATGAAATAAACTCACAAGAATACTTAAATTTCCAAAACTCCTATTAGAAGTACATTTTTTGAAGTAAAACATGTTGACTATAATGTATTCAGATATTTATATTCATAAACTCATGAGATCAAAATCCAAATGTGATTGGATTTGGTTTATTTTAAGCTAGTCCTGAATTCTCTTAGACTTGGGCTTATTTCTGGAATGAGCATGTATATGAATCAAGCAAGGAGCAGAGAGCCACTGGGTAGATGCTCTGTCCTGAAGCTTCTTTGCAATGAATGAGTCTAGGTGTAAACGGCACAAACTTGGAGTCAGACAGACCTGGGTTAGCATCCCAGCCTCACCCTTTCCTGACTGACTTAGCTTATCATTTGTGAGATTATGACAAAAGCTACACATTATCTTCATAACATATGCCCCTTAAAAAGCTTGAGGTGGTTTATGGAAGACCAGTGTGAAACTGGTCAGAGGGGCAGGTGACCCCCAGCAAACGCACATGTGGCTGCCCAGCTCTTTCTCTGAGACAGGTGTAAGCAGGAGCAGCAGACCTGTCCCCCACCCTCCCCAGCTCTCTCATGGGACTCTGCCCCCTGTGGGGTCTTCTGATTGATGGCTGGGTCACCCCGTTTCCACATGTTGCAGCAGAGCCCATAGGTTCTGCAGATTTCCATGTGCAATTCCTACAGCAGTGACACACCCTAGACATTTATTTCTCTGGTCCATCATTTTGACATCCAAAGACAAGACAGAGGTGATATATTGCCTAAAGCACACTAAACATGAACTGACTTGCTCAAGGTCACATACCCCCTTAGCAGAAGTTTGAACAACCAGCCTTCAACATATAGATGAACATTTGAATGCACTCTGAAATATACTTACGACTGCCCCATTGATGCCTCTTTCACCTCTGGGACCTTTAGCACCAGGTCCTCCCTAAAATACACAGTAAGAACACACTTCAGGGCGAATGTAAGGAAAGTAGGAAAAAGTTAATACGTAAAAACTGTTTCAAGAAGCAGCGTCTTGTCCAATCAATACCTCTGTGGCTACTTACAAAATACTGAAGTAAAGACTTTATATCCCACAAATAAGTGGGGAAAGGGAATTTCAAAACCTTGTACACCCTACGTGTCTCATTTTTACATTGTGAACTTTCTTAATTGTTAGCAAATCTTGACGTTTATTTGAAAATGTGAGGTTCACTGGAAAAAGCAAGCATTATTTAAATACAGCAAAGAGAAAGCTCAGCTTTGGAATTCTATGCATGCATTCTTCGGGGAAATAATATACAAAATGAAGAGTATCTTGGATCACTCAGAATCTCGGGATATGTAGTTCGGTAACAGGAATTCAGAGACTACTGACCAAAGAAGAAATAATATGGTAGTGGTATCTAATAATGTTATCTACAATGAGAGAAAAACATCTCTACTTCTCAAAAACATCTAAGTCACATTGGGATGTAATTTTATGATTACAAATATACATCAGGTAAATCACTATTAATAGAAATTATGGTAATTCCAGTGACATTCTGATTCTGTACATGAAAAGCTGGCTTATAATTAATCTAAAATCAATTTACATTTCTTGTTATAACCTCTGTATAGTAAAATTGGGTATTATAAGAATCTCTGAGCTGTTTCTATGTTAATTACTCATATTCTTAAAAGAGGCCATTAAAAGAATGACTTCCACTTCTCAAAACCAGCCCAGCTCAGATGTTGGATTGATAAGAGCAAAGGGTTCCACATTGATTAATGAGACATATCACTGCAATCTTCAGTGTTTTGTCTATACTTTCTTGGTCTCCCCTCCCCCATAAATAGATGTAGACTTTATCTTATCATTCCAGTTACTCTAAACCCCAATACTTTCACCCAGAGTTTATACCATCACATATGTAACATCTTCATATGTTACTCCCATGTGATGTCTGCGGCATAAGGTACAGATATCCTTGCTCTAAACAAATTGTTCTTGGGTTAGCCACTCAACTGTGGTTCCATAACATCTACAGAAGAAGCTTTTAGGAGATGTAAGGAATTTTTAGAAGCATGTGATTACAGATGGAAACCTAGATCCACATCTTTCAGAGAAAAGTTCTTAAATACAAAGCCAGTTTCATTCATTCCTGCATGTTCAAATGTGTTTAAACTTTCTTCTAGTATTATTCCACTAAAATATACCACAAAAGTGGTCTGCAATATGGTGTGCTCTGTCCCAGAAAATGTGGATGGCTAGAAGCATTTTATGCAAAAGAATACATGGAACAGATAGCAGAATCTCAGAGGAAAGTGTGGGGGCGGGGTGTGGATCAACCAAAGAACTTGTATGCATATATGCATAGCTCATGGACACAGACAATCGGGTGGTGAAGGCCTAGGATTGAGGGGAATGGTAGCCCGCTGGAAGAGGCTTATGGGAGGGAAAGGAGGATTAATGTGATACTTTCAACAATGACG